CCCAGGCGTAAACGTGATTTTTAGACGAATATACATGAGTCTTCCTTGATTCCTTAAAGAGTGCGATGATATGCATCTTCCGGGTTATGCCTGCTGCACATATGCAGTTTGTTATGGATATATTAATTATGAGTGGACGTCAGTTGTTTTGTGGAATACAGAAAAGCTGCTACGAGCCTAGCCTAATAAAGTGATTTATTCATCTTCAGGACCTTTGGTCTTCTCCGTTCTTCCATGGATTGAGTAATTTAGATCGTCTTGCCGTAGCATGGGCAGCTTTGGAATGATGTATGGTATGCAAATACAACCAAGAGCAAGGGAGATCTTAAGATTGATTATTCATTCGGTGTCGCTCAATCGTGATGCAATGCCCCTTTCTACCAGAATCTCACATGTGACACATCTGCGTGGCACAATGACTGCATATAAAGCAATGGACGCACGGAGGCTCACTCCGCCGGCCATCAATGAACCGCTAAACCGCTCAATCGCATTGTACGCACAAAACCGCCCGCAGAAAGGACTCGCTCTATTTACGTTTAAATGTCAATCTCCTTCATTTCGATATTGAATTGTGGGCCCTCGTCATGCTCGATGCGTTCGATCTGCTCTAGCTGCGCCCACAGCTCGGGATATTTGGCTCGGGCCCACTTCTCGACCTCATCTTTCCAGTGTTGGTAAGGAATCCCGTTGTAGAATTGGCCGATCCTAGAGGGCACGTTAACCAAACCGCGCGGACATGACGGCAGGTAAAGCCGTAGACGAGGAATGTAAGAGTGTCTAGGGACAGGGGGGGGGGGGGGTTGAACTAACGAGTTGCGGGTCGGCTTGAGGCCAGTCTCGACCTCCATCTTCTCCAGAGCCTCGGTGGCGAGGTCAAATTCGCAGTGGGCGGCCAGAGCTTTGACATACGCCATGTACAGTTGGCGGTTGCGCTCGATGCCCAGCAACTTGACCTTGTCCATCATCTTGAGGGCTTCCTCAACACCGTTGTTGTGCCTGGAGCATGTCTCAAAGAAGATAGGGATGGTCTTATGGGACGGACCCTCGTCCGACTCCAGGATGCTTCGGAAAACTTTCATTGCCTGCTCGGGCATGTCGCAGGAGGCGTAGGCGAGCATGAGCCCGTCGAGCACGCGCGTGGTTAGGTCGACTTCGACGTCGAGTTTGAGCATGTTGTGCACGAGTTGGAGGTGCTTTGCGGATTGGGTGCGAGCGATGCCGACAAAGCAGCGGGCGTATGTGTCAGGCTTGGGCCGTCGGGCGAAGTCCTCGGCCTGTCGCATGTGGCCGAAAACGAGGTAGGCGAGGTCGCTACGGTGGCGTTTGAAGAATGAGGTCATGATATCGGTGCGCGAGCGGACGCCGGTTTCCGGGAAGGCGAGCAGCAGCAGATTATACGTCTCCCAGGCATCGGAGTCCTTTTGCTCGAGGTCCAAGATGAACCCGGTCAGCGAGTTGCGAATCGTCGCCCGTTCTTCCGTGTCATACAGCCCAAGGCGTGGCCGGAGCAGTGCCGAAACGCCCTCCCAGTCGAGTCGGTAGAGGAGCATACGTGTGATCGCTGCCACGGTCCCTGCCTCTAGCCGTACGTTGTTGTCAAACAACGGGTCCAGGAAGGCCGAGATGCGGTCGAATATCGCATCGTCCTGGCCTGAAAGGCAGAGAAGTTTGATTAACTTGTTCATTAGTGGCATGTTCGCGGTCGCCATGGCTTCCGGATCCTGCAAATCGTCCATGGAGCGCAATGCCCTCCCAGTATCACCCGCTAAGATGTAGGATTCCAGCTGCAAAAGCTGCGTTCTCGTGTTAGGTTCTAGAGCCCAGTGGGAGGCTAACGCAGCAAATTTGACAGCTAGAGCAGGGTCTTGTATCGCGTTTGCGTACTCTATCAGATCATTCACGCATGAGATAGTTAGAGCCTTCCTAGCATTCTCGTCGCCCGCCATCATAGTATTGGCCTTCTCTGAGACGGCAGTTGCACTCTGCTTTTGCACCCCTTCCCAAAAGAGGGTGATGCCCAGAGTCTTGCAGACCGGCATGTTGGAAAGTGACTCGAACACCGATGCTGCCCACGCGGTATCGGAGTTCAACGTCGCATATTTGATAACGGCCTCTCTCACTGCCACTGTGGGCGTCTGCCCGTTCGAAAGAGGACATTCGTAGATCGTTTTTGTCGCGGTAAACAAGTCCTCTTCGATAAGAAGCTTAACCAGGTCTTCATGAGATCTGTGGTCGAACTCGACGTCGAATTTCTCAAGATTCTCGGCTGTCCATTCTAAACGGCGCTTCTCACCTACCATCGCAAATCCCTTCATAACCACATGCCATGGGGTCGGGCGAGCCATCTTCAGCCTGAACCAGAACCGCTCTAGAACGTCGCATGCTTCATCCGGGTGGCCATTCAAAGCCTGTATGTTGATATACGCAATGAAAGCCGACCGACTGATATGTTTCATATTGGGTGACGGATCACGGCACAATTCCGAAAAGGCAGCGCGAGCCAATTTTCGCACGATCGGTTGTGATTCAGGTAAACATTTGGCCTGTGATAGAACGAAGAGCATGTTTTCGAGAGCCTCAGTCGACAACGTTTTCTGCCATTCCTCGGGGTTCAATTCTTCCGCATGAGTTCGCATGTAATGCCAGGTGACGGAGAGCAGGGTGGCATGGAAGTGCGTAATGACACTGGGGGATGCAGCGCGTTGCCCCAAAAAGTCGTTCAAGGCATTGGCTAGAATTTCAAAGGTAGGCCCTCTGCTTTTGTCGGCCATTGACCTCATTAGGTCTCTCATAGGCTTTAGGCCAACCTCAGAGGGCAGAGTTGAAGACTGCGGGCTAGTCGTTGGGACCACATTGTACGCGAAGAGCCCGCGTCGCTGGCCATGGTAGCTGGTCAAAAGATCGAGCTTGCGAGGCCTATGATTCCGGACCGTATGCAGTGAGCGATGAAGGCAGCGCGAGAATGAAAGCGGTTCGTTGTTCAAAATTGCCCGAAAAACTCGCCGGGTGAGGTGGGATTGCATTTTGGCGTTGCGGTGCGACGTGGAGCACCTACTAATCAGCAAGAGGGGAGCGAGGGTAGAGATAAGAGCTTGCCAAGCTATTCTGGACCATGGCTTGGAGCAAATAAGTCCGCAATTTGAGGCTGTTGAACAGCTTAAGTTATCAGGATAGATGGATGGGAATGCAAAAGACGCGAAGGAGGAGGGCGGAAGGTCCGATTATTCTCTCGGAGGCGGCTCTTGGCGGTTTTCCCGGAAAGGCGAAAATCGATTTCACCTTCACCCTCACCCTCATTCTCTCCGGCTTGAGACGCAAGCCACAGACTCCAAGTCGCCTTGCCTATTTACCAATAATGGCCCTCCACCTGTTCTCCTGGTCGCCGCTGCGCACCATCGGCTCGACCTTTAGTGCTGCATCCGTTCGTCGCTGGAACTGGACCGCTGCTTCAAGTGCTGCCGCAACCACTGCGCATGCTTCGATTCTAAATGACCGCAAATGTATGTGACCTTACTGTATGATGTTTCTCTCGATTCTGCGTCAGCCTGCAGCTCCCTTCAAGCTTATATCCAGCGGATGGCATCGCTGACTGTCCTTTGTCGCATTGTAGCTCCACTATCCCGTCGCCGAGCCCGTCGGTTGTTCATCGAAGACCAGAAGGCCGTTAACGAAAGCCGTCCCCTGGAGAGATTCCAGACCCGTGAATGGAAGGCCGGTGATATCTATGCACCTCACGATCTCAGTCCTGCGCAGATGAGAAGGTGGAGAGTGCGCCACTCCCCTCCCACAGATGTCTTCGACTCCCTGAACTTGAATCCCTTAACTATGTACAAGGTATGTGAGACACGGAGGTCAACGGTGAGGTCGTGCAGGCAGTCTTGGAAATCTTGCTAAGAAAGATTTGCGTCTAACAGAACTTCTCGATCATGTCCGAATACATGACTCCCACGGGCCGGATCAAGCACCGCAATGAGACCGGTCTGCGCCCAGTCAATCAAAGGAGAATGGCCAAGGCTATCCGCAGAGCAGTCGGGCTTGGGCTGATGCCCAGTGTTCACCGGCACCCGGAAATTCTGGCCGCTCAGATCCAGTCACGTTCGGAGGGAGGCAGCACGTATTGAGAGATGTACTTATAGTTATCGCATCGATGGTGTCGGGGGCTGGGCCTGGCTTGTTCTTTTTATTCCCTCTTGGGCATTGTTTCATGTTGTCAGTTGGCTTGTTGTAAGATGATTTTGAATCTCGGGCGGTGACCATGTACAGTACTATACTATCTCTCTACTAGGCCTTGACGTGAGGCAATTTGGTAGCGCATAACAGTCAGTAACTAAGTGCCTTTTCACAAAGCAGCTACAGGTAAAGTAGACATCATGGATTGCAAAGCATAGGCTGGAGGGAGCGAACAGCGAGCGGCAAGTGACTTCACTTATTGGTAAGTTACTTGTTGTATGGATTGGATTGTACTTGAGTATCTCCGGCCCACCCAAACACCCAAATACGTACTACGTCAACAAGACTAGGTAAACACTCCCCGCCCACTGCCCACTTCCCCCCCCGTGCCCTGGTTCGCTTCTCCGCCTGCGAATGGTCGTGACGAGGACGGTTGGGCAAACCGCAAACCCCTCCCCCTCCCCCCCCCCCCCCCCCCCCCCCCCCCCCTCTTCTCGTTCCATCTTTCTCCTACTTACTCCCTCCTCTCTCCATCTGTGCTGCCCTTTGAATTCAGAACCTCCTTCTTCTACCACCTAGTCACTGATATTGTCTGCTGGATCAGCCATGTCAATCACTAATGGTCTGCCCTATCTCGATCCTGTTGGCTATGCTGCCGTGCCCCTCGGCTGACTATTAACTCCATAGAATCGATCTGGGCTGCGAACCCCACCACCACGAGGGGCCAGCCCACCCAGCTCTCGTCGGACGCCAAGGGTGAACGACTTGCATATGCGGTATGTTCTAATCAGACATTGGCAATAGAGACGATGTGCGGGCGCTGACGAATGCTTTGTTGGTACGCTGCACAGGCCAACAAGTCCATCTTCTTGCGCTCCATCGACAACCCCGCGATCGCAAGGCAGTACACAGAACACAAGGCCCAGACAACAGTCGCCCGTTTCTCCCCTTCCGGCTTCTATGTGGCAAGTGGTGATGCGACCGGTATTGTGCGTGTTTGGGACTGTGTCGGAGACGGCCTCACCAAGGGTGAATACAGCATTGTGAACGGCCGCATTAACGACCTTGCCTGGGACGGCGACTCCCAGCGCATCATTGCGGTTGGTGACGGCAAGCAGCGATATGGGCACTGTATCACCTGGGACAGTGGTAACACGGTCGGTGAGATCTACGGACACACACAACAAATCAACTCCGTCTCTATCAGGCAACAAAGACCGCTGCGAGCGGCGGCCGCCGGTGACGATAAAAACCTCGTATTCTACCACGGCGCGCCATTCAAGTTCAACACAGGTATCCGAGACAAGCATACCAATTATATTTATGGTGTTGGCTTTAGCCCCGACGGCTCGACCCTTGTCAGTGTCGGTGCTGACCGGAAGATCTGGCTCTACGATGGCAAGACTGGCGAGCCGAGAGGTCAAATTGGAGAAGGAGAGCACAAAGGAAGCATCTTCGCTGTCTCGTGGGCTAGAGATTCGCGCAAGTTCGTAACTGCTAGCGCTGACAGGACCGTGAAGATCTGGGATGTGGAAGCGGGTAAGGTTACCCAGAGCTGGGATATTGGAGAAGAAGGAATGTCAAACGTCCGAGATCAGCAAGTTGGGGTGGTGTGGCCTCCGGCCAGAAGTGATAACCTGCTCATCAGTCTCTCGTTGAGCGGGGATCTGAACTACTTGGTGGAAGGCACTCCCCAGCCGCGGCAGGTGATCCAGGGCCATCAGAAGAACATCACGTCCCTGACTCAGTTTCACTCTGGCAGCGACACGGAAACATTATGGTCGGGCAGCTTTGATGGAAGGGTTTGCCATTGGGATGTTCCGACGGGGACTGCGGAAGAGGTGGAAGGAGACGGCCATACAGCCTACATTGCCGGTCTTGCTCCGACTCAGGAGGGCGCCGGACGCATCTACAGCGTCGCTTGGGATGACACGATTCGCTCTGTTGATCTTGGTGCTAAGACCTACACCGGCGTTTCGTCCAAGTTGTCTGGCCAACCTAAGGGCATCGGGGCTGCGAAGGACAAGGTGGTAGTAGGGACAACCGAGAGCGTGGAGATCTATCACGATGGGCAGAAGACCGGTGAGTCCAAGCCTCAGTTCGCCGTGACGACAGTTGCAGCCCATGGGAACTTGACTGCGATGGGTGGCGAGGACTCGTCCGTCCAGATCTGCGACATCTCAGCCCAGGGGTTAGTCCCCAAGATCGAGTTCAAGGCATCGAGGAACGCAATTTCGGCCTTGTCATTCTCGCTGGACGGATCGCTCCTGGCGGTTGGGGATTCCCGGGGCCGGGTGCTGGTCTACAAGGCTGCCGATGGCCAACTGGTCACTGACCGTTGGACGGCGCACACCTCCCGAGTTACCTCCATCGCGTGGAACGAGGACAATACCCATGTTGTTAGTGGAGGCCTCGATACCAACATCTTTGTGTGGAGCTTGACGAAACCGGGAGACTGGCTGCAAGTAACAAATGCTCACAAAGAGGGCGTGAATGGAGTTGCTTGGATTGCAGGCGGATCTAAGATTGCCTCGGCTGGAGCGGATGCAGCGATCAAAATGTGGAAGGTAGAAGGTTTAGCATGATGATGATAGATAGAGTCTTTTATACAGTCTTTGTTTGAGAGTACTTTTTGTGAGTTTGCTTTTCTTTTCGTATACCATACTTATACATATACACATACACCTACAACCATATATACAGTACATACTCTATACATACATACATACATCCGTACATACATATACACACGTTACTGTGCATACAATAAGCTGTCTGTGAGTTGCGTTCTGGATCGACGCCCAGAGTAAGTTAAGTTATTACTCGTACCTATGCTGTAACAGGGCAGTGATTAGTGGGTGTGAACACCCACCCATTGGTCGGCTGACCAGCTAGCTCTCCACCGCCCGCGCCCGGCGTTCTTCAAGCTTCCCCATTCATTGTTCCATCATCCCAATCATTCTGGTTTGTTCCTTCTTTCCAGTCGGTCTACTGAGTACACATACATACAGTACGAAGAGGAAGAGTGAGGTAGTTAGCAGTGGGAAACTATGGTCCGGGCGCTGGTTCTCTCTTGTCCATTGCCCTGCCAGACCTGTTTCTCCTCCTCCTCCTCGCCCCCACCACCACAACACCGACTGTTTGTCCTCTTGTTTCCCTCTCTTCGTTTCTCCTACCTTGATTTTTCTTTGGTGCCCATTTTGCTTCTTCTTGACGCCAGTACCATGAAGTGATAAGATGTCTCGGTCCGGGGACTTATCAAGCAGCTCCCGTCGCATTTTACGCCCCAAGAAGGTTAGCCAGCCATAGTCCGATGAGCCATGATTAGCCATGATTATCTAGATGATCACCTTCGATCTCCTCCATAACTTATGGTGATTGACCCTTTTCCTTTTCATCATGAAATTAGCTCCGATATGCGACTTTCGTCCTCCCACGAACTGGTCAGCGACTGAAAGGTCTTATTCATCTACGAAATCCGGATTCCGGCTTGAATGGCAACAGCGAAGACGACGAGCGCCGAGCGCTTCTGACCGGCGCGATTGCTGCCCCTCGCAGAGGTCTATCGGCGCGTCTGTGGGGTCATATCAAGAGTATTGGCCCGCAAGCGCATGAGTTTCTCTCGTCAGAACTGGGGATTGGCGTCTTGAAGTGTAGTCTAGCCTATTTGCTTGGCTCCCTCGCAACCTTCGTGCCCGCTATATCCTCATTCTTGGGCCATCAAGATGGCAAACACATGGTGGCTACGGTCACTGTGTATTTCCATCCTGCGCGATCGCAGGGGAGCATGTATAAGGCCTTGATTTGTGCCTTTGCCGCTTTCCTTTACGCCGCTCTTGTCTCCGTAACCAGCATGTTCGTCTCGATGTTCTTTCAAGACACCTTGAATCTGGTTCTCCTTGGTCACGCCGTTGTTTTAGTCGTGTTTTGTGGAGGTGGCCTGGGCTTTATTGGATGGACGAAGCAGAGATTTGGTGACCCTCTTGTGAATGTCGCATGCTCGTTGGCGTCGCTTTCCACCATCACGGTGTTGACAAAAGAGGGCGCGGTGCAGAGTGGTGATTTGTCATTTGCAAAGATCTCCCAAGTCCTGAAGATGGTGGTCATGGGCGTAACGGCCTCCATGGCAGTGTCTTTCCTGATCTTCCCAATCTCGGCACGAAAGCAACTGCGGTCAAACCTCACTACGGTCACGGAGACTTTGGCAACAATGTTGGCTTTGATCACCGAGAGCTTTCTGAGTGGCTCGGAAGAGGAACTTCAGACTGCGGAATTTCTCGAGGCCGCCGCACGCCATAAAAAAGCGTACGGTCAGCTGGACAAGCTTGTGCGCGAAGCTAAAATGGAGCATTTCGTTGTAGGCACCGAAAAGGAATACAGACTAGAAAAGACACTGGTCCGCTGGGTCCAGGATATCACACACAATCTAGGCGGTTTGCGCAGTGCTGCTCATTTACAATTCCAGCTGCTCAAGCAAACCCAAGCTACCGAGACTGCACACCAGGGGTCGGATGTCAATTTCGGACTCGGTGCTGGCCCGCTACCCAGTCCCTGGTCATTGCATGAGGATCGTCCGCTTCTGGAACCCATCTATGAGAGGCCAGAAGAAGAGATGTTGGAGGCAACGGGCGGGGACGGATTCGATTTCAATGCAGAGAATGGTACCAGTCCTGGACCCGAACAAATTCTCCACCCGGCGGACATCTTTGCTATATTTATCAGCCACCTGGGGCCCTCAATGGTAAGCGGTTCTAATAACGATGATACCACCGTAATGCATGCTGATAATAGTCCTTAGAGATCTCTCGCGTTCACTTTGAAGGAGATATTTCGCGATATTCCTTTCAAACCAGAATCTGACTATCGAGTATCAATCAATAGCAAATACCGCTCGAGTCTCGATAGAGCACTACTATTATATCGAGATTCACGAGAAGAGGCGCTCAAGACCATCTATCGGCAACGAGAAGTCCTCGGGATTCAGACGCTGGAAGTCGAGGCTGACCTGGAGGAGGTGTCTGCCAGCTGCGGGCATTTCAGTTTTTCGTTGCTTGAATTTGGAGAACAGCTGAAAGAGCTTCTCGCCATCTTGGATGAGCTACAGCTCGAGAGCGAGGAGAGGCCCGGTGGTCGATCATGGAATTGGCTCAAGTTCTGGCGCTGGGCCTTCGGCGGAGGACCAAAGAGGGACATGTTGAATGTTACATTGGAGCAAGCTCATCTAGGCGAGCCCAACCTCCTCAAGCCGCCTGATGGTTTGAGAGGGTCATCCAATGTCACCGCAATCAGTCTTGCAAAACAGAGACTTGGCTATCGTTTGTGGCGTTCCCTTGGGGTTTTCCGCCGGGACGACACCAAGTTTGCGATCAAAGTCGGCACTGGCGCTGCGCTTTATGCCCTGCCTGCATTCATCCCGTCCACTCGACCCGTTTACGGCCATTGGCGAGGCGAATGGGGTCTGCTCTCGTACATGTTGGTCTGTTCTATGACCATCGGAGCCTCGAATACGACGGGATACGCACGGTTCCTCGGTACCTGCTTGGGCGCAGGCTGTGCGATTCTCTCATGGTATGCCACTGACGGAAACGTTTTTGGCCTCGCAATACTAGGCTTGCTCATGGCTAGTTGGAACTTCTACATCATCATCGTGCGAGGTCAAGGGCCAATGGGTCGATTCATCATGCTAACATATAATCTCTCGGTTCTCTACGCCTATTCACTTGCTCAGAAAGAAGGAAGAAATGATCAAGATGAAGGAGGGGACAGCCCCATCATCACCGAGATTGCCCTGCATCGTGTGGTTGCTGTTCTATCAGGCTGTCTTTGGGGTATCATCATTACGAGGATGATCTGGCCGATCAGTGCACGTGAGAGGCTCAAAGACGGACTGAGTCTGCTCTGGCTTCGCATGAGCTTGATCTGGAAGCGTGGCCCCTTGTCCACCATGGCCAAGCCGAAGGAGTCTGCGGGATTCATGAGCGCCCGGGAGAAGCTAGAAGTCGAACGATTCCTGTCACATCTGGAGTCTTTGCAAGCCTCCGCTCGTTCGGAGTTTGAATTAAGGAGTGCTTTTCCCGATGCTAGCTATGGCAATATTCTTCGTCGGACGCGCAGCATGGTGGACGCTTTCGTCGCCATCAACCTAGAACTGGTCAAAAACATGACGGCGTCCGAGGGAGAGTTATCTATTCTACGATACACCGTGAAGGAGAGGCAGCAGCTCTCCCATCGTATCAGTCATTTGCTGACAGGTAAAGTCCGATATTGGCAGAGGAGGCATTGAACCACTACTGACATCTAACCCCTCAAACAGTTATGGCCTCTTCAATGAAGCTGGAGTATCCTCTAAGCGATGCTCTGCCGAACGTTGAGCACGCCCGAGATCGGCTCCTGGCGCGTCTTTTTCATTATCGTAAAGACCCGGAAGTATCTCGAATGTCGACCGACGAAGACTACGCTCTGTTGTATGCATACGGTATGCCCTTTGTCCTGCAGAAATCACCCTCGACCATGGCTAAATTTGAACTTAGTGCTGGTGGTTGGACAGTTGTCCGGAGAAATTGAAGCCATTCTTGGGGAAGTTGGTCGTCTTTTCGGAGTTCTGGATGAGGATGCAGTGAAGTTGTATGCTTAGACATTTTTGGGGGGGGGGGGGGGGGGTTAAAAGGAACAAGCGCCCGCATTGTAGAAAAGAATAGCTTCGAAAAGTGAATTCCACGTAGAGGATCAATGCAAATGAAGAAAGAAAAGAAAAATGAAATCGTTTTCTAATTCTCAGTTGTGTTGCGATTCTGCAACTGCGACATTTGGTTGGGGAGAAGTAAGTTGGATCAATCGTTTGCGGATGGATTGTCGGAAAGTCCAACAACTTCCCTTCTTCGTCGTCGCTCTCACTTACTATTCACTCTCTCCATCCCTCCCTCTCCCCCGCTGTTCATTTCCCCATCAACGCGCGTCTTGGCCTGCTCTCGCCCAACAATCTCTTACATGCTTTCGTCTTATTTCATCGCCTAGAACTCAGTCCGCATCTTGATCAAGATTGAATGGGATGAGTTCCGCCTCTTCATGACGGCCTAGCTTCCCCCTCCCACCCTCTCCCTCGGCTTCGCGCAGCCCCCGTGCCCCGTCGCGCTTCCGCGAGCACCGCAGTCATGCAGATCGACCCGGCTGCTCTGAGTCGGCCAGACTCGGTAGCGACCACAATTACCTCGTCCAAAGGTTCTGCGACCAGTGCTCCAGCACTGCAGAAGTCGACCAAGGCGCTCATCGCCGTTCCGCGACTCGACCTTGAACCTGTCTACACGGAGCTCAAAGCCGCCATCGGCGACCACTGGGCCGAGTATAAAGAGGCCACCACTCTTTTCCTCCTTGGTGAGTTCGATTTGATGAAATGGACCCCAACACTGAACAAATATGGCCTCTGGCTTTCTGCAACCACATTCTCAGGTGCCGTCTCGTACGGTCGTATCTATATGACCCCACATTTCCGCTTGGCCTCCATCCAGATCGCGAGACTAACGTCTTCATTCGCTGAGCAGGACAATTAAATCAAAGTGAATTGTCATCGCGCGTCGATCATATAATATGCGCCGACCAAAAAACCGAGCACCTCCACAATAACTTCATCTGCGCGATTATCGGAAACTTGACCCGAGATCTCCCCGACCATGGAGTCGCTAGTTGGGTATCCGCAAATGACAAGCCCTCAGTCGTGTCGAAACCGACGTCGGGGGACGCTGCCGAACAGAGACTCAAAACAGAGGTCATGCAGCTGCCTCCGCGGGACCGGCGCAGACTTAAGGCTATACCCGAGGTAGGCAGCCAATTACTCGATATGTGGCTGGCCACGCCATATAAATTTTATTGTACAAGTCTAACATGATGTGGTGTTCCACTGGCTCAGCGTGATCCCAACGATATCTCGTCCAAGGATCTGGTCGAATACCACCTGGCGAAGCAGATTAAATTGCCGAGCCAGGTACCTGCCAGCGCCGGGGGGTTAAACAAGACAAGTAGGTCTCATGCTTTACGGATGACTCTACTTTTGTTTTGCGATGAGAAGCTTACTTTTCTGATTTACGATAGATTGGGAGCTGGAAATTCGAAAACGCTACGCGCAACCCCTAGCATCTGAGACTGGCGAGTTTCCAGATGCCGAATCAATCCATGCACGCATGGTTCCTATATGCTACGAAGAGTCTATAGTGAGTGGCGCAAGCTTACCCTGTGCGGAGTATATGGCCATTGCAACAGAGACATTCGTCAAGGAAGTCTTGTCAGTGGTTTTCTCGCGAACCAGGTCTAACGGCCCTTCGGGAACCATCAATGGCATGATGATGCGCAAGTATCGACAACAACTAGAGCGAGAAGAATTGGCATTTACGAGAGGCGAAATTGTCAAAGATAGTGCAACTGGGTTATTGCCTATTGAAGCTAAGGAGGCAAGTGTCCGAAAGCCACTGGGGGTTCGGGACCTGCGGCTAGCACTTGAGCTCGGCAGCGGCGTTCTCAGCCATATGCCCCTGCTTGTGGACCAGATTATGGGCGGCTATTTCGAAGATGAGCACGAGGCAGAAAGACATGGTTCAAATGACGACGTTGTAGAGATCACGAATGACGACTCCGGACAGAATTTCTTCTCCGATGAGATGGACATTGACGACATCGACTCCGATTGGGAGGGAGGCACAACGGCTGATAGGGAGCACTTGGGTGCTTTGTTGGATGAGTGTCTATCCATGGCCGCGTGAATTATCCCCCCTTGCGCTCCTCCTTTCTCTTCTCCTCTTACCCCAGTTTCTCTCCGTGCATACACTGCGTCAACCGCTAACCCATTCTTTACTTCCTGTCTCTTTTATTTTTCTGCTTTCACAGCCTTAAGCCGCTTGATATCCGTTGCTTTCAATGCGTTGCGCCTTTGTGCCTTTCCCCCCCCGTGATGCACATACATTCATACACATTTCGATCTGAATTTACCAAAGATTGGGTTCGGCATCTTGGATCTGACGGAGCGTCAAGGCGTCTTGGGAGTCTTTAAGGATTGCCGCTATGGCGCGCGACCCTGTCATTTCTGCATTTGGCATGGAGTTCAAAGATGCTTCTGTTTTGTTTTTGTCTATATTGAACCCTGTTTCCCTGTTTCTTCATCATATTGCTTCTTTCTCTCTTGCTTTCTTGCCTGCGATCACTATTCGGGCAGTCAGTCTTATTCAATGTGACAAATCATCTTTTTTTTGGCTGAGAAGCCAATGCAGTCGACTCGAATCCCCTACTGTGCCAATTTATAACAGCTTCAGTCTCGCGAGGGGAGCACCAAACGTCCCTACCGATTACGGCCTACTTGAGAGGCGACTGTGACCGTTTTGGGGACATCCTGAGCTTGCCCGCTACGATCATCCGAGCTGCTCTATGGCCCCACTGCTTGGTTAATTCTGGGATAAATGAAGACAGGAACTGGAAATTCTATGCATGGCTGTGAGCCTGTGGATGCAAGGGTATACCCTGCGGACCTGGCGATGTTGTTCTTGTTTTGTCTAAGTACTGTACATTATCTGCTGGGACCGCCTGATTGCAGGTCATTCCGGGACCGCTTTAATGAAATAACAATGACTCATGATCTTCAAGATATTTCAAGCCAGCTGCGATCGTGTACCCTGCTGACCATACGAGCTTGTTGGACTGATAAGGCTTGTGGCCGTAATGCGTCTCCCACGCCGATCTCGGGCGTTTGTTGGTAAGCTTGTCACTAGAACCGAACTTGAGTTGGGGTGAAAGGGTTGCTCAAGCGCCGAAGACCGTTCATTGAGTGAGACGGTCGGCAACCATTTTGAGAATCTCCTCTGTTGACTTGCGTGCATTGGACGGGTCTTTGGATATTGATTGCCAGACTTCGCCGTGCTTCGGTTCGGTCATGTTACATTTAGCCACGACATCTGCTCGTTTCTCCTGCACGCCGATATCGAGTCAGTCTCTGAAATACTCAAAAGAAGAGGGAAGAAAAAAGAAAAGGGGGGTTAATCGTACATCTGTACCGTGCTGCAACAGGAACTTATAATACCAAGCCCACCCGTCGCCCAAATCACTGTCGGTGACAATGGCCTTTTCAAACCAGGTCATTGCCTTCTCCAGTCGACGCTCCCCCCAGAAGATGCGAGCCACCGTGATGAAAAGAATCGGGTCGTTATCGGCCTTCTTAATAGCCTCCAAGCTGCGGGCCTTTCTCTGCGAGCGAGGCTCGAGGTGCCAAATGCTTTCGCTCCATAGCAGACCAGATGTGGGGACCTCTTGCAGGGCTTTGGCCATCAAGACCTTAGCCTGGGCGATGTTGTTGGCACGTCGTTCCACGCGAACACTCTCGGTCCACAATTCCGGGCTCTTGAGTACTGCAAGGCGGGCGCGGTCTAGAACCGAGCGAGCTTTGACGACCGCCCCGGCCTTTTCTTCCAGCCGTGAGGCCAACAGCCAGAGCGGTACCGACTTGGGGCACGCTCTGGTGCCGGTTCCATAAGCCTCCCTCGCCTGAGGATACTTGTTCTGGGCTTCGTAAATCTGGCCTTTCATCATCCATAACTTGTCAGCTTTAGGGTAGAGTTGGAGACCTTGGTTGACGAGGTCAAGCGCCTCGTCAACGTTGCCCAGTTGCCGCTCAAATGCGACACTCTTGACCCATACACGATCTGTTCCTGCTTCACGGCGGGCCGTGGAAAGAAGTTCTCTGGCCTGGGCTGTCTGGTCGGCATCCGCCTCCAATTTGACAGCAGCCAGCCAGATATCTTCGTTGTTCGGGTTCTGATTAAAAGCACGGCCGAGCACTCGTCGAGCATCGTCGATTTCTCCAGATTGCCATTTCTCTTTAGCAAGCTGTAACCACAGCTCCTCGCTTTGAGGACAGGCTTCCACGGCCTTTTCAAGCACCTGCCATAGTGCCTCTTTGCTACCATGGTTGCGCTCGAGGTCAGCTGCCGCCAGCCAGATAGATCGGCGATTGACGAAAACACGGAGTGCATAGGCATAGATAGCCCTAGCTGTTTCGTACTTGCCGCGGGCAATACTAGCCTTGGCATCCTCTATCCAGATGTCTTTACGGTCGTCATCCTCGTCGAGACCCCATCCGAGAGTCTCGCGGATAATAGCACCGCAAGTGAGAATGGCACCCTCCTCCTCACATTTCTCAGCCTCGGCGATCCATTCCTCCCTCTTAAGCATCGCGTTCTCTCTTGCCAAGCTCTGTACAGCCCTCTTCATAACGTTGACCTTCTCGGATGTACCCATTTGTTCCTGCAACCTCGCGGCTGCGATCCAGACTTCGTGGCTGGTAGGGACGGCTTTTCGAGCAGCATTAAGAACCTTCTGCGCATTTTCTGGGGTCTCGAGGCGCGCCAGAGCAAGCCAAAGCTCCACTGACAAAGGTATAATTTCAACTGCTTTTGCGAGAAGAAGACGTGCATCTGCTGGGTCATCCTCCAGGTTGACGGCCTCTTTCCAAATGACAACGGACTGGGGAATGTGAAGAATAGCTTGTCTGAGCACATTCTTTTTGGCCCGGGGCTCGGTTTCCAGTCTCATCGCCTCAATCCATAGTCTTGTTGAGCGGTCGTTGTTCTTGATCGCATTTGCAGCTATAACCTTGGCGTTATGTCCTTCGTTGAGCCGGATGTTCTCCAGCCAGGCGTCTTCACTTTTCGGGCATAATTCGCAGCCCTTGGCGATGACATTCCGGGCCGTCACAACTCTACCAGCAAGTTCTTCCAGACGAGCCAGAGCTATCCACCCGGGAGCATGCTTGGGGTTCGTCTTCGTTACTGATTCTAAAAGAACGCGAACCCGTTTAATGTCGCCAATTTCCACCTCGCCCGCCTTGAGCTCCGACTGGGTGAGGCTTGTAAGATAGCCCTTAGGGTCGATGCTGGTGGCGCTTCCCGAGGCCGAGTCGCCCGATGAGCCCATTGCAGCTTGATCCAGTCTGACCTGTAGCACCTTGTCACGCGCGGCACTTATATTGGCAAAGTTCGTTATCGTTCCATCCGCACTCTCTGCTCCCGCGGCGGCACTGGTCTGCGCACCGTCGTCTGCCACGGTTGTTTCAAATTGCGTCGAATCCCTTGCACTGGCGATCACACTGTCCGGCACCGCATAGAACCGTTGGCGGAGATTCTGCTTCGCGCGCCTGTTCTTGCCCGTAAGATCTCCCACCTCCGGTAGGTTCGCCCACTCGTCTTCGGAGACGGAGGCTAGCGAGCGTTTTAGGTCGGCAAATTGCTGCTGAATCTTGGGGTTCTTGCGTTCGTATTCCTCTCGCTCTTGCCGCTCTCGGGCTTCTCTGGTAGGAGCCAGATTCCATGTCAGTAGTCCATCCTGACACGAGGTCGCCGGGGAACTGATAAACACCGCGGAGGGAGTGCAGCCAACTAACCTTCGCATCTTGCGTCTTTTGTCCATCTTCTCATCTACCTCCCGGTAAATCCGATCGGCTTCATCATCCTCCTGATCGAACTGTCCGTAGGCAAACAAGCCCACCTCGTTGTCGGGATCCTGGAACCGCCCATCCTCCTCCTCGTCTTCGGCTTTGTCGTCCTTGCCACCCTTATCTCGCCCGGCTCCATAGGCAGTCGGGGGCGCGGCTCCTAGCTGTTGCGCTCGTTTCGCGAGCGCTGCCTGGATCTGTTCCGGCGTGGGCCCTTCACGCGCAGGTCCTAGATCTGAACGGGTGGTGAAACCGGTCGCACCGCGACCAAGACCCGCAACGTAGTTCTCAGGGGCGGGCTGGCTCAGAAAGTCTTTCCGCCCAGAAGCCATACTGACCGAGACACACTTCACAGAGGATGAAGTAAAGCTGAAAGACCGCAGCGAGGCCTGATGGAAGACGGGTTGGTGGCAAGCGACGTAGGCGGTGGATATTGATCGATGCTTTGCGACAGGCCATCGGGGAGACGGTCGCATTTAGATTGTTCCGGCCCCGGTAATCTTATCAGGAACCTTGAAGTCTCCGCAATGCCTTTGATTTTTTTGCCTTATTCACACCGGAGTGGAGCACAGCACCGAGGGTGTCACAGGGTCTCTTTTGAAGACCTCTTTTTTACATTGCATACCTATATTACAGCAAGGCCGACCGTGGTAATCGCTGCTTCTGATCACCGCCATGCCTAAGGTCAAACAACAGAAGCGCAACAGCGCCTCCAAAGCCAACCCATATGCAGACGCTGCAGCCAAAACTAAAGCAGCCAACAGCATTTTCAAAATGAACACAGACCTTGGTCAACATATCCTGAAAAACCCCGGCGTCGCCCAACGAATCGTGGAGAAAGCTGAGCTGAAACAAAGTGACGTGAGTAAAGCCTTCGCTATGTCCAATTCGCAGTATTCAGGCACATCTAAAGTCTGATATACCTCGTCTCACAGGTCGTGCTGGAAATCGGTCCTGGAACAGGTAATTTGACCGTAAAAATCCTCGAGAAAGCAAAGAAAGTCATCGCCGTTGAGCTGGACCCTCGAATGGCTGCTGAGGTCACGAAACGTGTCCAGGGGACGCCCGCCCAGAATCGCTTGGATGTTATACTCGGAGACGTGATGAAGACGGATCTTCCGTACTTCGACGTCTGCATTAGCAACACTCCCTATCAGGTGCGCTTTCGTATCTAGGTCTCTTTCTCATCCAGTCCCTAACGTGCTTGCGACCAGATCTCTTCCCCACTCACATTCAAGCTTCTCGCTACCTCACCAGCTCCTCGAGTCTGCATCCTGATGTTTCAACGGGAGTTTGCGCTGAGACTTTTCGCCAAACCGGGCGATAAACTTTACAGTCGACTCTCGGTCAATGCTCAGATGTGGGCCAAGATCGATCACATCATGAAGGTTGGAAAGAACAACTTTAAACCACCTCCGCTGGTCGAGTCCAGTGTAGTCCGCTTAGTCCCCAAAAATCCCAGGCCGCAGATCAATTATGATGAATGGGACGGGCTTCTAAGAATCCTTTTCGTTCGAAAAAACAAAACAATCCGATCAAGCTTCCTGGGCAAATCCACTGTTATGGACATGCTGGAAGCTAATTATCGGACATGGTGCGCGCAAAATGACATTCCGGTGGAGGATGGACCAGCGGGTGAGACTGGAGCAGATTCAATGGAGACAGGTAATATGGAAGATGAGGAAGATGAGGACGAGGCTGAAGAAGTCATGGATGTGGATGATGAAGATGACGTGCCGGACTTTTTCAAGGAACAGGAAAATGCCCGGATACAAGAGGCGCTAAAGGGTCGGCCAAGCCGAAAGAAGAGAGGGAAAGTGGGAGAGCTAGTTCGGGAAAAAGTTCGGCAGGTACTGGAAGAAGAAACGGGCCTCGCTGATAAACGTGCCAGGATGTGTGATGAGAATGATTTTCTGAAGCTGTTGTGGGCTTTCAACCAGAAAGGCTTCCATTTCACCTGAACACACTGCTGGCAAGAAGGAGCGCGTATGGGGCCTTGGGATCTTCTGGTGTATACGAAAACAAGATCTCCTTAATGATTCACGACAGTCGTCATTGAAAGCCATTCTCAGGCGACCGGTCTCCAGCCGGGCGAAGATGGGCACGAGAGTCCTGAAAAAGACTTTGCCATATGTAGGCTTCACTTAGCAAAAGTTCAATATCCTTCTCAGTCCAGCCCTTCGTCGGTAGGGCTTGCAGGAACATCATAATCTCCTAATTCTAGTTAGCTTGGTCTGAGCTGGTACAGCTCTTCCCATCAGAAACGCACCTGAAAGTCCATTTTCACCAGTTGATCTGTCCACTTCACCAGAAACGCCGCACACACGTAGAGGTGGAAGCGTGAGAAGCCCTGCTCTTCAGCCTATATGCATATTATCAGTAAGGACGTCAGGATTATGATCTCGTTGGAAGTGGACATGCAGTACCATATATGTATCCCACATCCTTATGGTATTTTGGACGCTCATTTCTCGCATGAGGAGGCAGTTCATCCATCGAAAACTGAATTGCATGAATTCCACACCCTCTTGCTCTAAATGCTTAGCCAGCGTAGAGTCTATGCGCATGGTCAAATCACGCAGTGCTCTGACTTGCCTGTGAATCCCAGGTTGAGCATAGATGTAATTGTCCTGGATTCCGTCCAGGAGTTTGGTAAGACACCAAAAGGAGTCCGCCTCCACCGCATCCAGCACACTCCGAGGTAATTGACCTGGATCCATGCCTTCCTCGACATTGAGATCGGTGACGTAAAGTCCAAGAAATACTTGCCAGAAAGGAGTCACAAGGTCATTGATGCCTTGGACATAGCCGCTAGCAGGATGACGTATAGCCCAGACGTAGAGTATCTTCTCTAAAGAGCGTTGAGTAGCCTCGTAGCTGTAGAGCTGGATGTGAGGGCTGGTGCGAGGAACATCTATACTGATCTGATGCCAGACCGCTTCATCTAACCCTCTACCTCGCCCTGTGACGGACGAAGACGGGTTTCCGGAGGTTGAAGGGCCTCGCTCAAAAGCTTGTCGAACCCCATCCAAGTATTCCTTGCGCTTCCTTTCAAGGGTCGAAATGCGCCGTTCACTGTTTGTCGGCAAGTACCCAAGTAGTAATTGCCAAGTCATTGCTCGCACTTCTTCTGGGACCCCTGACCACGCGAGGTTCCTGAGTTCCGCAAGAGGAACAGTGCTCGTCTGCAGCAGACGCTTGAATTTGTTGATCCTTGAGATGCGACTCGAATATAGGTCCATTTCCTTAGGCGACGCATTTTTTGGTGGTGGCGCATGATCAATAAGATTGAGAGCGTGCGCAGGGTCTAGATTTCATTAGCAGATGCGCTTGGACCTGTCTGCGCTTAGGCTACAACCGACCTTTCAAAATTTCCTTATACTGAGGACGTAGGATTTTACCCTCTGCTTTCTTTGCTGTAGGGTAAATTGAAACGCCACGCTCTTCTGCAATGTCAGAGCTATTTGCCCGTTGTCGATTGCTTCCAAGACCAACACCAAGGGTCAAATGATTCCCTATCCCCCCACCGGGGTCAACGGTGTTAGGTTGAACTAGAGCAGTAGCCCTGCTTTGCTTTCTCCGCATGCTGGTAATGCTTGGGAGCCCAAATTCGTCCTCATCATCATCGTAGGCTACATTCTCCTCCTCATCTTCATCTTCCTCCTCTTCTCCTTCGTCTGCCCGATAATTTTCCCAAGCTTCCAGTCCTCCGTTCATGATGCCAGAGTATGAGGTGCGAGGCGATGAGACCCATAAACCCGGCCGGTGTGGAGACAAGGTAGCATGTGGGGTACTGGTGGAAGTCACTGGAGGTGGTGTTCGTGGACGAGCATGTGGTTGGGGACCTCTATAGGGCATGCATTTGGATCAATCACTAGCAAACAGGAGCAATCAAAGCGTGCGGCAGTGAGACTCACACTGAAATATTGGCATGGGAGTATGAAGATCCAACGACGGTATTCGACTCCGGGGTTCTGGTCGATGTCTGGTTATGCGACACCGACCTAGCCTTCCAAAACGGCGAATTACTTTTCCTTCGCGCACCCGTTAGTGGGCCTTCTATAAGCTGCGGTGACAGGAAACAGCTTCAATTGATTCGCTGGGTTGAGGATTGCCAACTCAGGATTGAAACTAACGTACTCGATGCGATCTGTGACGGCAACAGGGGAACTGATCAGTTGCGGGAATCTTGTAGGCGAGATAAATGTAGGTATGGAAGAGGCACGAACCAACCTGGACCATCTCCTGATAGCGAGTTGACCAAGCGATCGGGTCAGCAACCCAATTATATAGGACTTTCGAAAGATGTCTGGGGAAGGGAAGCGTCTGCACCGAGCAGACTAAGACTAACTCACCTGCTGCTGGCCTTTTTTGCTTGCCATTGCGTCAAGCTCTTTATGCAGAGAAGACGGGGCCTATTGAACAGATCATAAGCTGGCTCCCAGGCGAGAAAAGCAAGAGTCGGAAGATTGAGAAGAGGAAGAAGGTGATCAGGGAAAGCTAAGTCGGAGAGGGAGAGGCAGTGCGGGGAGAGTATCACTGGCACGTGGAGGTATGTATGTACGTACAGTTATGCACATACAGTAACTAACTTAGTAGTAAGTAGTTCGTTTACTACGTAGTAACTAACTAGTAGAATTCCGCCAGACTGGAGCAAATAAAGGTAATAACCTACACAAAAGAGGCCGCAAACACTCTCAAGTCACACCATAAGATCGAGAGGATCATCAATTGTAATAACCATCAGTACTAAATAATGATTCATGGGGGTACTGCTGAGCTTTGTTTCGTCATGACCGTCATGGCCTCTGTCAGTCATGGTATTGCGGTTACCGCAGGTCACTCACCTACCAGAAGTGATGTACTTTACTTTACATGTATTTTACATGTATAATGTGGTCACTTACATACCATACAGTTTTACTCGCCTCAGTTCAACCTTCTCCGCTCCTACTTTCCTCTCCTTCTCCTCTCTCTTCCTCTTTCTCCTCCTTCATCTACACCTCCCTCCTCCGTCCTTTCTCTTGTTCAATAAACCTCTCTCAGTTCATCACTCTCTCCCCTTTACTTTCCTTTTCTGACACCGGACTTCCAAATCTGGTAGCAGTCCGCACTGCCTGATTCGATAATATTCTTGGTCGAGTCCTGTGGCTCTCATTTGAACCAATTCCAGTTCACCAGCCGGTGTTGGCTATCTCTACAAATTACATTACCATTCCTCTCACGCTTTCCGCTTCCCAGCTTCTCCAATCCAGTCACTGAGCGATAATGGCTGAACCTGAGGATGTTGAGGAAGACCTCTTCGCCGATTTGTAGGGCGCTCCCGTCAATCATCCCAGTTTAAGACATCTGACGCTCGGTATCCGCAATTCTAGGTACGATGCCGACGACACTACGGCTCAGTCGACGTCTGTTGTAGAACCTCCACAGGTTTCAGATCCCATCACCTCCGCTCCACCTGTTCCCGCGACTGAATCTCATACGCAATATGCGGATCAGCACCATGGTGATGCCGAAGTGGGCGGATCCTATCAATATTCCCACCAGTCTGGCAATCATGTGGGAGGAGAAAATGGCGGCGCTGGCTTTCCGAATCTTTCGGCAACTCCAGTGGGCGACTCCGAGCCTCAAGGGACCGGAATCAAAGAAGACGGGTGAGTACTATTTTCAGTCGAAGATCCCTACATCGTGTTTTATTCGTATCATGCACTCTTCATTGCGCCTGTGACGACTTTGGTGGTCACAGTCTCAAAAATGCTTCTCACCCCCCTTCCTCATTCCTCGTCTTATCCTCAGTCATCCAGAGGGGATTTGCCAGTGTTTGAATGTTGCCACTGCGCGGGCCTCATGTTTCAAGCGAGACATGAGCGATTCCTACACACTACTCATCGGGCTCCCATTCAGCCCCAACAATGGCTCGTGCTCAATGTCGATTGAGTTCCGGTTTCCTGGTGCTGTGTACGAAAGGGTCAGGTTCTATCATCTCAGTCAAGGATTTCTCCTGTTCTGGGTCGATCGTGGTTTCTGGATGGAAAAGAGATCTCGGCCTTGAACAAGAAAATTTGATATTAAGAGGATATCCTCACTGGCGATGTTGAATTTCGTCCAGTGCTCCCCCCACGTTACGAGGCTCGTGTGAGAGATCTATCGGCGATACGGCAACGATATAAGACTCAGGAAGACAGTGCTCGGGTCCCTAGCTTTTGAGGCCGTGCTACGAGCGATTATAGTACACCCGATACTATATAGCTTCATGTCGATATATCATGATAGAGCACAGCAAGGAATGAGGCCTTGACTGTCTAGTTTGGAAGGTTCTCGAAGAGATTACCTAGCTTCGGACTTGATTAGACAGACAGGCAAAAGACTCTATGGCCAGACAGACAGACAGACAGACAGACAGACAGACAGACAGACAGACAGACAGTTAAGAAGGGAAAGAAAATGGACTTAATCCATCCGCCTCACATGCTCCAACCTGTGGTGACACTACCCCGCATACCTTTTCGATGCTGGAAACCGCGTTTGGTCTTCATCTCACTGGATGGTGTTGTAAACCAGTGTTGCTTCATGATTAGGAGACATAGTGATTGTCTTGGACAAGGAGATCCCTGGCAATGTATTGATGGCCCAGACCGACCCACGATATTGGGGTCTTTTTTCCAAAGTCTCAACGCCCTTCTGGGTTCAGTCGATGCTTCTGTCATAGTGACAGAGAGACAGCAAGAATAAATCGGCTCGTGTCCAATGACAAGCCGTGTGCCGGCCAATACTCACTCCTATGCAGCTAGCATCTCTTGATCAAGTCCCTTCACTGCATCAAGAATCATCAAGCTGCAATGAATGGAGCAGATCATCCTACCCCGTCCCTCGCAGCAGTCAATGACCCACCGCGGGGCCTGTCATCTCCTTTGTCGTTTTTTCTGGATTATCTGTTGTTTTTCAAATGTTCTTCATAGCGTTTAATGCTTGAGAGTCTACAATACAGCTTTTGCTAATCGTGTCATGGCCAGGAAAATGTTCATTGGTGGTTTGAACTGGGAGACTACGGATCGTATGTACTTTCCCTTGGCTGGCTGCGGCTGCTCCTGTCACCCATAAGTTATCTGACAAGTTCGATTAGAGTCCCTGAAAGATTACTTCTCTCAGTTTGGGGAAGTACAAGAATGCACTGTGATGCGAGACAGTGCTACGGGTCGCTCCAGAGGATTTGGATTTTTGACATTCAGAGACCCGAAGACTGTCAATACCGTCATGGTTAAGGAACACTATTTGGATGGCAAGATTGTAAGAGCCTCCGTCACACATTCCTTCCCGTACTTGTTATGAAGATCCTCAACAGCTGACCATTATGTGGCAGATCGATCCCAAGCGTGCAATCCCACGTGACGAGCAGGAGAAGACCAGTAAAATATTTGTTGGTGGCGTGAGCCAAGAGGCAAACGAACACGACTTCAGAGATTTTTTTACCCAATTTGGGCGTGTTATTGATGCCACCCTGATGATTGACAAGGATACTGGTCGTCCCCGTGGCTTCGGATTCGTGACATTTGACAGTGAAGCGGCCGTCGAAGCAGCTCTCTCCCGTCCTCTGGAAATCCTTGGGAAGCCCATTGAGGTGAAGAAAGCTCAACCAAGAGGAAATCTGCGGGATGAGGAAGACCGCCGATTCCGCCGTGGCAGGGAGGGTTTCCGTGACGGTGGCGCAATGGGAAGCGATGGTTCGCAACCACAAGCCGTGGCTCAAGGCCAAGGCAGCATGGCTGGTGGACTCACTCCCCAGATGATGGCACAGTATTGGCAGAGGATGCAGCAGTACTTTGCCTTGATGCAACAGCAAATGGCCGTTGCTGCAGCTCAAGGTCAAGGCATGGGCGGCATGGGTATGGGCGGCATGAACCCAGCCATGATGCAACAGATGCAACAAATGAAACAGATGCAGCAAATGCAAATGGGGAACAATCAAGCACCACAAGAGAGTCTGAGCCCTCCGTCGCAGAGCTCAACGCCCCAAACTATGGCACCGAACATGATGAATCCCGCCATGATGCAGCAGATGCAGCAGATGCAGCAGATGCAGAATCAAGGTCAAGGCAGCAGCTCCGGAGGCATGGCCGGTCAGATGGGGGGTGGGGGCAATGGAATGAACATGGCCGCAGCTAACGCCAATGGGAATTACTCGAGTCATCGCGGTGGACCTGGCTACAATGCTCAGGAACAAATCGCCTTTGAGCAACAAAAGTACGAGCAGCAACAGGCGCGCCGAGCCATGGAAAACCGGGCTTTCTCTCCCTACCAACAAGGTGGGCCAACTTCTTGGGAAGGTATGTATGATGAAGTACCTCAGCCGAACATCCCGACCGGGCCCCAGGCCATGACCCGCGCGGGGAGCATGGGACGCGGTATGTCTTTTCCTATCCTGCCATCCCCAGGTCCTGCCTATCATTTGCCTTGTCTGCCCGAATATGCTAACACCGAAACATAAAGGTCCAACTCCGCAACCTCAAAGTGCTGCCCCAGCCAATGCTCCGACAGGCCCGAAGAATGCCGGCAAGCCAGGCGCCAACTATCGTGGTGGAGGCCGTGGAGGTCACCGGGGCTTTCACCCTTACTCGCGCGGTTGAGGACTTGGTTTTTCTTCCTTCGGTCCTTGTGCCTTTCCTTTTCACAGGCTTGTACATGTGCGCGCAGTCTCCAATGCTACCTTCCCCTTGGGATCTTCATAAATCAGTCAGATTCCTTGCTGGTGCCCTTCCGCCCTTTCTATTCTTCGCGACGTAAAGGACCCTCAGCAACTCTCGCTGGTCACCAATCCAGAATGGCATGATCCTCCAGCAGCAATAGTGACATTTGATACTACAAAAACCTCGAAAAATGTATGACCACGCCCTATTATTGTTGCCTATCTTTTCTTCTTCCCTGCCTCCTTTTTTGACGCTTCGTACTGTATCTCTTACACTGTCTTCCTCTCATTTTTTTTTCTCTCGCGGTGTGTGCGTGCGAACTAATCCAAATTGTGCATCGCATCTGGCATGGATTGCTATGGTCTTTATTCTGTTCTCAATCCTGTCTTGCTATCGCTTTATGTAACAAAACACTGGGTTTTTGCGGTGGAACGAATCCTCTGTGCGTATTTAAACTATGCGTAGCCAATCTGGTAGCCTGAGAGCATCAGAGTCTCGATATCGGAATGGTAGAACAGAGCCGGGCCCAGCTTGGTGGCAGTGTCACCTCTTTGGAGACACAGCCTACATGGAAAGAAGGCAACCCGGAGTATATGCTTAGGGTCCGTGCTTGAGATAGGCAGGACTATCAAGACCGATTTTCTGGATATGGTTCAAATAACAGACCGTTGGGGGTAAAGATGGTGGAGGGAGCTAAACAGCAATGAAACTAGAAGCAAGTGCAAACCACCACACCACCACCACAAAAAAAGTACGCTAAATTTGTTGGA